TGATGGTAGCTAACACCGACGGTTGGTGCTGCCACCCGATCCTACATGTATGCACATACGTATCTATGCACATACATGCATGTGTGCTTAGGTATGTATATTAGCATTTTAGTTGAAAGTACGTTTTGCTCGTCGCTCTCTTCATCGCTCCACTGCAATCCTGTCCTTAATTTTATTCAGATACCACAAATGCACGATCCATAAAATTCTTCTATCATTCTTGCCACAAATGTATGTTTTCTTCGAAAATACTGAAGTACTACCAGTAGAGTACTCTACTGTCAAATACCTTTTACTCGCAGTAGTTGCGGAAGGCAAAGTAAATACTCTACGCGTCATGCTATTGATCGGTAGTTTACGTACGCTTGCAGAAACTGGTTTATGCTTACTCACACTTGACCCGAACGATGAGAGTAAAAGAGGGAAAGTATTTGCGCGGCGATCGGATGTCTTGTTAGGCCCTTTAAATGGAATCGCGCAGGAGTTTAATATATATCCATATACTACGTATAATTATATGCATAGGCATGCCTTTATAGCATACTCAAACTCACTCACCCCATCACTTATTCGTTGCCGCCCTCTTCGTTGTTGTTGCTGTGAAGTATTTCCTGCTGTTGTTCTTGTACCTACAGCTGCAGCAGCAGTTATTGATGTGTTCGCAAGCAAACTATAAGCTCCGCCAACTGCAGACTGTGTAACTTGTCCCGACGAAGGGGATGTGCCAGAGTTGGTCGTACTGGTAAAATGCGCAGGTGTAAATGGTGGTGGCACTGTATTCGGTGGAATACTTAGTTGAAATCCATTGTGGTATATAAGATGGTAGGTGGCTTGGGTGGGAGTGCTAGATGGTGAAGTCACAACGGTTGAACCAGTGTCTGCTGCGGTTGCTGAAAAATTAGTGTTGGACGTTGATGCTACGATCACCTTGGAATCGTTCTGCAAATTGCTTCCAGCAACAGACCCGCTGTTATTTGTTGAATTCGTCTGCCACACCGCCACCGCCCGAAGTGCACAACAAAAATTTTAATAATTAATTTGCAAGGAATTCGTACAATAAAGCGGTGGAAAGATTGCGGGAGGCACCGATCTGGTGTTTTACGCTGGCAGCAATAGCAAAGCACTTCCATATCTACTAGCTAAGCAGACACTGCATAAGGGATGATCAATCGCCAAAGCCTGCGCGCAATGTAAATTCATGTTGAAACCACGGAAACCGCAGAATCTGTGAATAAAACAAACAGAAGATAATATTGTAGGATGAAAAAAAAAATTAAAATTTTAATTACATACATACATACAGAACCACTTACACTTCGGGCATCTTCTCTTTATCCGTTTACAGGGCATTAATCCGTGCTGTGTGCTCAAGGCAAAGGGTTGCAAATCGATGCAGGCAAGCGTCTGAAACCTAAACTAAGTATATTAAATCAAACTCTATACTACAAATTAGTATTATAACAAATTCCACTATACGAACCGTTTCTCCTCGTGATAGTTTATTTCTTGAATGACATTCAGCCATTCAGGATATTGCCATTCATGAATTAGCAATGGCGCCATCTGTTGTATTCGAGACCAAATGCTTACGTTAAGCTTGCATCATTGGGGATTTTTACTCAATCCGTCGAACTACACAAGATCCGACAAGATTAAGCAAAAGAAAAAAAAGTAATTTTCTGGCTGACGTTGGTAATTTCGACGCCATGTTATTTTCTTTTAAAAGTAAACAAAGAATATGAAGACGAGGCATAATTTTCTCAATTGCTATCACAAAGTATGGCTTTTATGCAAATTATAAATACTGCTCTACTCGACGGTCATCAACGCACAAATGGCTGCTTCTCGACCGGTCTGTTCTAATTGGTTCATGCCTCGCAATCTCTGGAAAAATTGTACTTTAATAAATTATCTTACCATTGTGTTAGATGATTTTTGATTGGAATACCAGTTTAAAAAATGATTGCGATGCGTAAAAATACGGTAATCGACATCAGGAATATTATGATACTCCGTATCACGTTTATCGATTATTATCACCGTTCTTGTTTGATACCGCGAAAACACGTTGTAAAAATGAAACAAACTATTACTCATGTCCTGCTTTACATAAGGTGTTCGATGCGAATCAGAACAATCATTTTGTGTGAACCTTTGACGTAGCAACCACCTCAACGTTAGCGAGCGAATTTTTTTGGGGTGGCAGGACCGTTTTACGATATTAACGTATCACGAATGGGAGCAAACAAGCAAAATCGATAACACCTGTCCACAATGTATCGCTTCAATATTTGAGGTGCCCATACACTCTTTATACGCTTGTACGATATTATATGCAGTTCACACTATCAATTTACAGTGTGGAATCAACATTTATTTTCAAAGTATAAACTATATTTTATTTTCGGTTTTAAACTCATTTAATGCTCGCCACCCAACTGTAACCTACACACATAAGGGCACATTATTTAGTACATAAGTACACAGTACTAGTATCGGATAACAGCAAGGGGAAAAAACATTAACCAATTTCAGACAATGACTAAATTCACTTCAATGAGGAAAAGGGCGGAGCAGCAATCACAGCGTTATCCGCTCGCATGCCGTATATGTGATGGAAATCACCCGATCAGGCTCTGTCCAATATACCGAGTAAAATCTCCCGAAGAAAGATTGCGGGAGGCATTGTTGGGACGTTTTAGCGGCAACTGCTTGTCTATGACACACCGCGTCGATACGTGCACGAGCGAAGAGAGATGCCGTCGGTGCCATGACAAGCATCATACAACTCTGCACCTGGATGAGGAGCACCAAGCAGTCGACACAAGACCATGGAGCGTGCAAGTCGCAAGTGAGGATGAATCAGAGCACATTCTATCGGTCAATGCTTCAGACTCAGGAACAGAGACCAGGGCTCTCCCACCGGACGCCGAGGAAGGCGAAGTCATTGAAACTGCAGTAGCAACCCGCACTCTTCGCTCGACTTCACGAAGGGGATCGGAAACTAGGCCCTCCCGACCGCTCTTAGCACATGAACGGCGCCGTGGATCGGAAACTCGGCCTTTCCGACCACGCCAGCCTTCACGCCGTCGCCGTGGAGCGGAAACTAGGCCTTTCCGCCCGCGGGCCAGACACTTGGATTCGGCAAATCGACGCCGCCATCAAGGTAGACTGGAGACGAGGCCTCGCCAGCTGCCTGTTGCATTCAGAGCGGGTCAGGTCCAGCCTTCAACTCACGTATTAAGGCCCGTTACATCAATATGTCCTACTGCCGTGGTTAAGGTCGAATCGCAAGGAACTTCTCCATTTGATACGCGCCTTGATTGATGTGTGCTCAACGACCTCGATAATCTCAGCCGATTTAGTACGCGAACTGCGCCTTGATTTTGGTCCGCAACAGGGTTGCCTACTGCGTTTGCGCGGCAAACATGGCCAAAATAAAAGGATAGCAATCCATGCAAGAGTGGTGCGAAATTATATTCGGATCAGCCCCACCAGTAGCGGCACCGTACACACACATTCGACTAGCGGACCCGAACTTCCACACCTCAACGCCGATTCGCTTGGTCTTGGGAGCCGATGTATATCCCGAGATTATCTTGCCAGGGATACTCCCAAGCGCTTTTGGGCCATTCCTGGCCCAAAGCAGCATATTTGGGTGGATCCTATCGGGATCGTGTCGATCCTAAATACCGAATAAATCTTTTTTTTCGTTTTTGTTTTTTTTATTTAGATAATTATATATATACACTTTCTTGAAATGAATATGAATTGTTTAATAAATGAAGTGCAATGAAATGTCAAACCATGCCTTGTTCTCTTAACCTTATTTTTCGTATAATTTCTACAGCTGTAGGAGGCGAAGATGGAAGCACGGGTGACAACGAGGAAGTCCGACTGATCGGATGACAACCAGCTGAGATTTTTACTACTTACATTCGAATTTGTAATTAGCTACTCAACGCGGTGTGATGGCTGAGTCGTAATAGATGTTGCTTGTAGCAAGGGGGCCGGTATGTTTAGGCCTCCACCCTAAACTCAAAATAATGCAATGGGTGTACCACCCTAATGTTCATTTATGCACATGCATGTATACATTTGCAGTATTAATAACCCACAATGTTGGCCGTTAGTATCATTTATACACACATACAAGTATACATTTGCATGTATTAATAACCCAAAATGTTGGCCGTTAGTAATACTTCCCGCCATATTAACTTTCGTTAAGTTACCCCTCCAAACAGTTTTACTGCTTGGAGGTTGAACTTAATTTCGTAAAAAGGAGATCGGTCACTTCTTTTTTGGAGATCAACAGAGGACGACTATCTGCCATCACCCGACGTCATAAGCGATTGAGGTAAAAGTCAATTTTCTAATCCAATTTTTGTGTATACATAGCAAAATATATATATACATACTTTGTAATAAACGAATTACATTTTATACGGAAGACTAATTCCCGTCTTTATTTATTTTCACCATATTTCTAACACGACATCGGTGCAACAAACTGCGAACCATTGAGCTATCAAATACGCAGTCGTTGCAGCGTTGCACACTCACCAAATAACTTTCAATTTGTGAACGAAAAATAAAACTTATCAGATAACAACTACATATTTTGTAAACTAGAAATAAAAAGCACGATGCAAGTCGTATTTGTTGAACGCAAAATAAAGACTGAAACATAATAATTAAAACGAATTGTTTGCTGTATAGCTTATAACTGTTACGTTACCTGGTTTTATTTCATTTAATCTTTAATATCTTATTTATTTATTTTTTTTTATTTTTTTTTAGCCTTTTTTAATTCAAGTTTTCTTTTAATTCTTGGATTTTGTTTAAAAATAAAAATAACTTTTTTTACATTTAATTAATTTTTAAGTACTAACTTATGTTTTTTATAACATTTTTCTTTTTATAATTTAATTTTTAGAATTTGTTGCAAAAAGAAAAATTTTTTTTATTAATATTTTTTTGCTTTATTTTCCTCAAATTATATATTGCTATTTGCTTTCATTGTTGTTGTTGTTGTAGCAGCATACAAATTCCCCAAAGACTTTTTGGGGAGTGTTGCTGGAGTGACAGTCCTTGGCCAGATGTAAATCTGGGTCGTTACGGTTACGTAGACCCGACTGTCGTGGGAACGATTTGCTTTCATTAGTTCTTATTGTTTTAAAAAATAGACGTTTTGCCCCCGAAACAAGAATTATATCCCTTCCCTAAAAATTCAGCAAACTCGGGCACGCTATCTCAACGTCAGTCCAATATCCTACAGTGAATACAATTGGAAATTTGTATTCTTGGGACCAAATGCGCTGACAAAAATATTTGGAACGATTTTTCCCAAAAACAAATTTTCGGGTTTTTCTCCGTGAAAGATTCTTCCTAGCAAAGGGAGCCGTGGTAGTCTTCCAGATTTATCAACCTTCTCGTTTATGCACCGAAAATATTATTATAGTTTAAACAGCCCCTAACGAAGATTGTCCAATAAATTTAAAGTTACAATATTTACTTTTCAGCTTATCTACACAACCCGCAGAGGTCATAAAATCGCACAACTTTCATCCCGCGCATCTGCACCACATCGGCAAGACCCCACTGATCTACCGGAGTCTTGGTCAGGAGCTGGAACGCGCCGCAGCTGAATATGGCAGCACGGAATCTATTGTTTCATTTCCCGAACAGAAGCGTTACACATTTCAGGGACTCATCGAAGAGGCCGATCGTGTTGCTGCCGGCTTGCTGAAGCTTGGCTTAAAACAAGGCGATCATGTGGGTATTTGAGCGCCCAACAATATGCACTGGTATCTGACACTGATGGGCGCAGCACGCGCCGGTTTGGTGTCGGTAAGTTGAAATATTGCTACAATTATTTTCAAATGACTTCAACTTTTTAGATCGTTTGTAGGTTGGCATAAATCCAGCATTTCAAGGACCCGAAGTGGATTATTGCCTGAAGAAGGTTAAAGTGAAAGCACTGATAATGCCTGAAACATTTAAAAAACAAAATTTCTATGAGATTATAAAAAGTATTTGTCCAGAGTTGCCAGACCGCGTTGATGGAAGCATCAACAGCACCAGCTTGCCTCACCTGAAACATGTCATCATCGACACAGACCACAAATTGAAAGGCGCGCTGAGTTTTGACCAATTACTCGGCCTGAGCAACCCAGTCGAGCGTGAGGCTATCTCAAAGCTACAGCACCGCATAGTACCAGATAGCGGCTGTAATGTGCAATTTACCTCTGGCACCCCAGGTCGACCGAAAGCGGCTGTGCTGTCACACTATAATTTTGTAAATAATGGCATGCATATCGGTAATCGTAATTTGTTGGACAGCAATTCACGTATCTGCGTACAAGTGCCTCTCTTTCACGTATATGGCGTTGTTGTCACTGTTATGGCTGCAATGACACATGGCAGCACATTGGTTCTGCCAGCAGCCGGTTTCAGTCCCGCCGACACGTTACGCGCCATTGTTGACGAAAAATGCACGGTCATCCATG